AAAGATTTTATGAAATTAAACTTTTATAAAAGATTTAATTTATTTTTACGAATCTGATTTCAAAAAGAAATTATATATGTCTATTATGGTAAGTCAAAAAAACTAAATTATTTTTACGCTTRCTACTCTAAAAAATGATTTCTTAGGCAACTGTAGGAATGTCACTGCCAATATGCGCTCTTCATTGTAACGCGAAGGTACTGCGACAGTTATTTCTTTTGTTGGTCTTGTCGTTGTTTTARCGGCAGAATTCWGCTGAGTTGACAGTCCTTGGCCGGATAAAAATCCGGGTATGTTCGGATTATGGAGAACCTGCTGTCGTGGGAACAGTTATCTCTTCTTTCCAATTATCTGGTAGAAAAATATACGTCTACTTGAAAAAAAGATCTCGTATTGAGATTGAAATCACTTTAAATCCAGAAAATGTACTTATTCTTAATTTTGAATTTGTTTTAATTTTGTGTTTTTATTATTTATTTATTTTTTTATTGATATTTGATGATGAATATCTCTCCAAAGCTTAACTTAGAAGAAAAATAATGCTAGATCAATTTGTAGAGCAGTAAATTTCCTACAAAACTATGAGTTTTGTAATTTAAAATAACTATTTTTAATTGAATTATAAAATTCATAAAAATATGTGTCTTAAAAAATAAAATATCAAGCGTTAATGTACTTTAAGCAGTTAGGTTTACAAGAAAAATTGTAACAGACTGTGTCGCAGCGCATTGAATTCCCTACAAAATCTATGAACCGTAATATTTTGTTTCAAATAGTTAGAAGGAAGGTTTGAATTATTTCCTCCCCGTCACAATTAAGAGCTCATAATTGACGAAACTTTCTTAGAGGCGTCTAAGCACCTATTTGCCAGAGTACCAAGCAATGAATAATAGTCGGTTTTTGACCAACCCTAATAATTCATATATTTAAAGCTTTGTAAAATAGAATAAAATAAATATAAAAAATAATTAATGTAATAAAAAAATTAATATTTTGTTGTTGAATTTAGTGGGACATAAACTTAAAAAATTTACCCCAAAAATCTAGCTAGTTACAACCTTGCCAAACAAAATACTCTGTTTCTAAATTATTTAGTAGTGTAACATATACAAGGCATTTTTTCTTTACTTTTTACTAAATCACTAACATTCTGTCGCTTTATTTAGCATCTAAAAAAATTTACATGTTTTTACAAACCATAATATTTTTTATATCACAAGAGTTCAGTGAAAAAGTGTTATAAGATTTTTAACATTATTAATATACTTTTTATAAAATCCAGTTGGGTATTTTACGTAACACAAAGTGCAAGTGTTTAGTTTTTTCAATATTAATAAAATTTATGAAAATTCAATTAATTAATTTTAAAAATTTCGCGAAAATATGTTATTATTAAATTTGTGAAAAAAAATTAAAATTAAACAAAAATCTTCAGTTAATATTAAACAAATTAATTTCAGAACAAACAATATCACCAAAAATTATAACTAAATTTTTTTCTAAATTTCGTATTTTTTTAACCAGAGTGAACCAGAGAAAAAAAGGCACAGATTATATATTTTTTTCAAAAA